CCAAAACTTCTCTGACAATATCAACTCAGCTACTTTAATAGCTTCTGCTTTTCTCTTGGTAGTGTTATTAAACTCTGCCCATTCATCTGAGGTGCACATTCTTTTCAGTTCTGTACAATGCCGAAGAAGACTTTCCATAGAAATGAATTCAGTTGCAAATCTAGTGATACCTGGACGTAGCAGTTCCCTTTTTTTTTGTATATGTCTTCATCAGATTCACTACTTTGTCACTGTTATATATGAAACTTGTTATCTTCTTCCCCTGAGCAATAGTTTCTTTTACATTATCCATTTTGCCAATATCCTCCAACATCAAATCTATACAATGCGCAGCAGCGCAAGGTGACCAGAAAAGATTTTTTCTTTTTTTCATCAACAGTTGTCCAGCAGCTTTCATACTAGATTCACTATCTGTCACAACTTGCACAACATTTTTTTCCCCCACAACCTCTACTACCTCATCCATTAACTTGAAAATATATTCAGCAGTTTTCTTAATATTGGTACAATCAACTGAACTATGGTATATCATGTGCCTATCACAGTATACCATAAAATTTATTATTGGATGTTTTGTACGAGTGCTCCACCATCACACATAAGTGTACAACCAAAAGTTGAAAATTTATCATAAATATCTCCAAGATATTTCTCAAGCTCTTCAAATTCTTCATCTAAATATTCATTTCCAATTTGATAAGCTGAAGGGCCTTTAATACCAGAACCAGCTTTGGCAATTTCATCAATCATCGATTGATAATAAGGATTGTCAGCTGCATGAAATGGTATAGCATTGAAATGAAAAAACTTTGAAACTGCCTTACCAACTCTTTTTATATTTTCCTTCGCAAACATTGATTTGACTGATTTTTGTTTCGAAGGAAACATATGTGAGTCAATTCCTCTGCTTGTCATTTCATCTGCTTGTCTGACACTGAAATTACGTGACAATCCTCTTTTATTTTCAGAAGTCGTTGGGTTTGAAGTGCCAACACCCATATTCCCTAAAATTCACAATATTTAACAAATAAAAAATGAATGACTAAATTGCAAATTTATGTAATTATATTTAATAAAATAGTATCAAATTTGTTATAATATTTTAGTTTACAAATCATACCTGACATAAACATAGAAGGTCGACTCCCAGATACCGAATGCCTTCGTTGTTCGTCTAAAAATTGCAAGTATTGGCTCTCTCTAATTGCTTGCTTCATTTGTTTTTTTTCCAACGCCATCCGACTTTCTTCATCAATTTCAAAAAAGGCTTCGTCCTCCTCGTCGCCAACCATGTTGAAATTACCATGCATACTTTCTTGTTGGAAAGAATTCAATATTTCTTCTTTTTTCTGTTTTATTGTAGCTCTTTGAATCTTACCAATCTTTAGATGCATTTTCATTAAATCTCTAACTTCACTTGAGGCCCTTGGACAAGGCTCAACTTGTCCTATGACATGACCGACATGTTCTTTCAACCTTGTAATGCCACCATGCATTATTTTTCCACAATAATTGCATCTCACAATTTTTCTATTCCCTCCCACGGGTTTACCATGTTCCCAACCAATATCCTTGCTCGTCATTGTAACTATTACACATATCAATATAAATGGTTAATACATCACAAAATAATTAAAGATATATGAAAAAAATACAACAAGCAGTTTCTAACATTTTGTAATTATAATAATTTATTTCTATTATATTAGTAAGTTAAACATCTAATCTATAATGTAAACCTGCAACAATGATCATTTTTTCATTTATTATAAGAACTTCGGCATTTTGTTTGTTGATGGGTGATTAACTTAAACATATAATTTAGCTCTCCATCTTCCTATAGTTTTTAGTTCATGATCATGATCACCAGGATGATTATGTATTATAATAAGTTGGAAGATAATACTAAATGTCCCTCTCTATTAGCACAAAAATATACACGTACAGTGGAAGCAATTCTCATATCTCTCCAATTTCTTTGTTAACCATCGTCATATATATATATATAAGCAGATTGAAACAACTGTCAAAAGAAAGATCATAAGCAGCATTACCAAGCCACAGCTTCACAGGGCAAGAAGGCAAACAATTAGTTTAAGTTAAGTGGGTCGACATTTTCGAAATTTTCTTATTTTACCACTGCAGAATTCAATGAACTACACTGGCTACAACCTCGTACATGTTAATTATCGAGATTTCGAGCTTAATGAAGCTCCAAAATCCAGAACAATATCGAAAAGTTTCAGCACTGCATCGATTTCCCAAATCACATGCATGTTCGTTCAAAAGCCGAAGAAGCATCTACTATATATACTTTTCTTTTCCCTTCTCTTCAACTTATAATTTTCTGGATTGGGATTTTGGGTTACTTATAGCTGCTGCCTATTCTTGGAGTCTTGGGTCTTATGTGAAAGAGGAGGGATTTCCTTTTTCTTTTTTATTTTTATTTTTTATAATCTTTCTATAGCATCAAATTTTTCTTTGTTTTTTTCCAGCGGGCCGCAGGGTAATTAATTGCCAATTACCTACTGCAATTTATTTGTCAGCCTCATTTCTTCTAGATAACCAAACTGCACCGTCATTAACTCTCGATATCAATCAATGACGACGAATTGGACTGAGTAAAAACCTACTCAGTCAGGCCGATTGCAGGCCAAATAACAAAGGATTTCTATTCCGCATGCATTGGGCGCCATGCCATGCTTAATCAATCAATGCTGCTGCTTTCTTAACCTTATACCTTGATATCTATGCTCTTCTCTTTCAAGTCCTCACCTTAATATATACATACATACATATAACTAGACATGATTTTTCACTCACTTTGCTACCTAGTCGTCCAAGAATTACAAAAGTTTTTGTTTTATACATAAGGATTACTAAATTTATAGAGGAAAAATTATTCTTGGAAAAAAGAATAATTTAGTAAGCATAGCAATGGATTAGTAAGCAAAGTACAAATCCAACCTCCAAGATTGCTAACCATTAAAAAGCCGGAAAAAAGACAAGAAATTTACTCACGCTTTGGAGTCACTTGTGAATCAACCTGGTAATTTCCACCTGGGGATACCTATCAGCAGGAGGGAAGAGCAGGACGGCCAGCTATTCAACAATCTGTATATTCATATCATAAGTGAAACGACTGTCTTGGAAACCTACAGTTGGCCCTTGTAATGGATCAGTTTCTTTTAATAACTCTAATGTCTTAGAGCACCTTACAAGCAGAATATCTGAAGGTACAATAAGAAAATCAATTACCTGCTGAAGCTTGACAAGGCAAGGGAGAACAAGGCAAAAAGGACATGAATCACAACCATCTGGGTTATCTCTGTGAAGGTATGGCCAAATGACTCCATTGGGCACTATCTTTTTGCAACATTCTACTTTGTTTCAGAGGGCGGAATTCCAAAGCTCGGCAAGAAGACAGAGTTAATCGGCAAGAAGACAGAGTTTACCATGAAGAAGAATTGAAGGAAACGGAAGGGATTACTACGTTCTGCAACACTACTAGTCCAATAATTTAGTAAAGTGAACGTGGACCCTTCAAAGTATAGTGAAAGTACTGCCTTCACTTTAACGTGGAAAAGAAAACATTTCCTTTCACGTGATAGTACTGTGTCCCTTTTGCTTTTTTTCTATAGATTTTTTGTTAAATTCACCTTGACTCGGGATGACTCGGGGTGACTCGACCGTGACAACCCGTCGCGGTGACGTCTCGGCCGATTTCTCGGCGAGACGAGTATCTCGGTCTCGAATCGTCGCGGTATCGTCTCGGCCTAGGCCGAGACGGTTACGACTCGGCCGAGACGTCTCGGTCTCGGCCGAGTCTTCGAACCATGGTAGTAATACAAGTTAAATGCAATAGGCTTCATTTTTTTTCCCTCTTGGCTTCAGAAGAAAACCAGGATTGCTTCTGCAGTATTGGGAAGCAAAGAGACAGCTGCAAACAGATGTTGCCTTGGTTTACAATATCCGGTTTCTCACTTTTTCCTTAAACCATCCAAAAAAAAAAGAACAAAAAAAATTTAGTAGTTGACTGAAAAAACAATCTTTTGGAGACCAATTAGGAAAAACTTGAGGTTTGGCATACAGTTTATCCAATTAGGAAAAAGAAACCATGAAAACGATGTAGAGTCCAAATCCTTTATTAAAAACTATAAAAAGTTAGAGAAAAAAAGCAAGCTGTTTTAGAGAAAAAAAACCACGGTCTCGAGTTGTTATATTTTATTACTGGTATCAATAAATAATTATTGGTTGATTTGACCAGAAATGAAGATGCTAAATCCATGGTTTTAGGAAATGGGAAACCAGATTTGATCAGTTGGTTTAGTTTTGCAAATCCAAGTTCCTAGGAGTCTTTTCTGTGGCAAAGGAAAAAAAATGGAAAAGAAGTAACTAACATTTGTCTATTTGCTCTTTATCAACTGTATCTGATTGGTTTAGTTTTGCAAACCCAACTTCCTATTTGCGGCGACCCTTTAGGTAAAAACACCCTTCAACTAACACCACTTTTATGATAATTTTTGGTTTTAACATTATTTCGAGAAATTCGCCGCACTGGCTGTGCATAGCATAGCCCACCCCTATTAGTACTACTAGAAAGTAGACAAATTTTTTTTTACGGCAATGATAACATTTTTATAATATAATCTATCATAATCTATATGGAGGGAGTATAAAGAGACTGTGTATAAGAAGTTAGAAAGAATAAGAATCTGACTAGATCAAAAGGGTACTTTGACACCTCATTTGAATTTTTTTCACTGCAAGTAGGGTTCGAACCTCCGACTTACGGTCCAAAAAGAGACTTATAATTCCTTTCTTTTCACTACAGACCATCTTTTTTTTTTTTTTTTTTTTTTTTTTTGAGGAGGAGAAAGTAGTCTTGATGACGGCATCAAAATTCAACGCCCCTTCCATTTCATTTCCACCCTACTTCCATGCTAGTACTGCATGCTGCCCCGTTGTTATCTTTCTATATAAAGCCCTCGCACCTTTTCTACCTAAATGGCTCCTACTATCTAATTCAACCATTTCTTAGCATCAGTTTAGTATATTGCTGCCTACATCCCTTCCCAATCACCCCCCCCCCCCCCCCCCCCCCGGGAACAAGAAAAAAAGGAAAAAAACTTCCATTTCCAACATTTATTTGGGCTGTTGATCAGATCCACCCATCGCCACTGACTTGACTCTTTCCTTCATCAACTATGGCTGAGAAGGTAAGCCAATTCTCTTGCTAGCTTTCCCAACCATCCCTCAAATGTTCGTGATATATTGTTTTGCATCTTTTTTTTTCCTCTTTTAGTGTTTGCTTAATCTGAAAATTTTAATTGCAAGTCTATGACAGCACATACAACGTGAGATATGCTTGCTTCTCTTTATATCAAGATCTCTACCCACATCTCCCAGCGTAAACCATATAATTCTGCATTTATATATATATATATATATACACATATATGGATCGAGTTTGACTATTTTGCTTCGATAATATATATGCAACCATACAGGTGACTACAATGAGACTCAAGGTTGATCTTCAATGCCCCAGCTGCTACAAGAAGGTCAAGAAAATCCTCTGCAAATTTCCTCGTGAGTCTCTTATAATTATCAATTCTATCTCTTATGTTTTCAATACCAGTATACGAGTAGTAGTTCTTCTTTAGAGCAAGTACAGTTGGATGGACGACATCCACCGTTCCACCGACTATGTACATGGCTAGGCATGTGCGCCACCATGAGCTACAATTTTTTTTTATTCCATATTTTCCCCCCCTTCTCCATGATTATTATTAGCCGAGTTGAACAACAAAAGTTGGGTAGTGTGGCTTATGAAACTACTAGTGATCAGTTAGTGGCTTTAATTTGTATGGACAAGAATTTGAGTTTTTCTTTTTTTTTTTTTTGTTGGGGGTGATGCTCAATTTTTTGGACAAGAGAAATCCAAGACCAGGTATATGATGAGAAGCAAAATCTGGTGACCATCACCGTCGTGTGCTGTAGCCCCGAGAAAATCCGCGACAAATTATATTGCAAGGGTGGCAAAGTCATTAAGTGCATTGAGATCGTAGTTGCGCCACCACCACCACCATCAAAGGCCAAGCCGCCACCACCACGACCGTGCTCGCACCCGCCAATTCCAGTGGTGATCTGCTGTGTCCTATGTTCGGAACGGTACGGAGGGGGACCATGCCGCTGCAGGAACTGGCCGCCTGTGCCCCCGCACGCGTGCGGGTGCGGATCCCGGTGTAGTCATTGTGATTATTTCAGTGAGCAGATCACCGGCGACTGTACGATTATGTGAGAGGAGAGGAGAGGAGAATTTGATATGGGGTATGATATGCTATGAAAAGCATCCAAATTAATCAATTAATTTTGTTTGGTGGGCGGTACATGCATATGCATTGAAGCAAAATTAGTACTAGTATTGTGTAGTTAGGGCCTTAGGCCCTCATGGGACCTATAATATAAAAGGAAGCAGAAAATAAAGTTACTGTGTATGCGATTATGGAGTATATATATATATAGACGTACGTGTGGGGATTTATTCAAGTTGGAAGTCACTTAGAATAAGCTTTTGTATGTACCTGATGAATAAGTTTTCTTAAGTGTCAAGTACACTTTTGTAAAGATGTTTGAGCTGTTGTCCAAATATTATCAATTAAAATTTTCTATCATTTTGAAAAAGAAAAAAATATCATTATTTATAATAATAATAATAGTAATGATATCATTAAAAGTGCATGTACTCTCTTCTTCTTCTTCTTCTTTATTGTTATTATTTTTTTGGATTTCATTTTCTTGCTTTGCTCTATAGTAGTAGTAGTAATAGTGGTAGTAAATTAATGTGCTAGTGTAGAGGTTCTGGATACACATCTTCTTTCCTGTTTCTTCATTTCTTAAATCTCTCCATTCTTTGTTAGAAATAAAATTTAAAATAAATAAATAAATACATATATATATATATATATATATATATATATATATATATATATATATATAAAGGATTAATTTGTCATATATTGACAGTGTATATACTATCAGTATTGGATTAATGATAACTATGCAAAAGTTGAATTTTACATATGTCATAAATTTAGCAATGATAGTGTATACACCGTCAATGTAAAAAAGATTTACTCTAAAAAAAAATAGCAATGTGCTAGGGTAGCTGGAAGGAATGCAGAAAGGAGGTAGTAGTACTTAACAGTGGGGTAAAAGTAAAAATAACGCATATGAATTTGCATGCCATCTCAAATGCTCGCATGCAATAATAAATGTCATAAGTTTAGTCAACAAAAGAACAACCAACGTTAGTTTGCTCATCAATTCATGAATTCATCAGCTAACAACCTTCCAGGACACCATGGCACGGCAGTAAATGGAGTATATATATATAGTAGCAAGACAAGACAAAGACAGACTCACTCACAGTAACCTATTTTAGTTAGATTCATTAATTAATTTCGGGTTGGTTTGGCTGTCTTTGTCTTCACTCTTCTGTAATAAATTGTCACTCAGCGCCGGTGTCGTCCTGTTGGATTGTTACAAAATAATTGCGACGTGGTGGAGTCACTAATTCATTGTTCTTCCAATTCCAAATCCTTTCTTTCACTGGATCCTTTCATTGTGGTCTGAACTCTGAAGTAGTAGTAGTAGTGGTAGTAAAAAGGAGGCTTTTACTCTCTAATTCTCCAGAAAAAAAAAAAAAGGCGTCTTTGTGGCTCTAGGTTTTGGTTGGATGTGGCGGCCGCCATGAAAGTGACGGAGCAGCCCGCAGAGGCTTTACGAAGTACCGAAGGCTCGAATCATGACAAAGATTTCCCCATGAAATTAATTAAGCTTCAGAGGGATACTGCACGCACATATTGCCCTCTTTTAACCGGTGCATCATTTCATTTGAGGGATGGATGAGGGCATTTTCTGCTTCTCTTGTTTTTCTCCTCTCTTCTCTTCTTGAGTAGTGAATAGTGATTGCCATTCTCAAGTACAGTAGTAGTACTATATAGTAGTAATTACTCTCCGTAAATTGTACTGCTCCGTTTCAACAGACTACTGTTACCGGTCATGAGGAAAAAAATCTTGCTTCAGTTTCTTGTATGAGGCAGCAGAAATCTATAGGTCGAAACTCGAACGAACGTCCGACAAATGACCTAAGAAATGATTTACAAATTTTCCTGGTGCCCATTGGGCTAGTGAACCCAATGGATGATAAGGCCTCACCTAAAAATTAGCTAGCTGAAAACACCACCATCTCCAGTCCTTGCACCCCACCGGCAGCCCAATGTAGAAAAAAAAAAAAAAAAAAGGAAGAAAACTCAAATGCTGCGGACTGCTGTGCTGAGTGACGACTGAGAAGGAAGGAGAGTAGAGAGAAGAATGGTGGCCGCCTCCTATTCGCCGTCTCATGTCTCTCGCGACCCACACCTCTTCTGTAACTCTCTTTATCCCACTCACCTCCACCAACTCGTCAGGCGCAATTCCTACGATTTCAGGTATGCTTCTTTAGTCCAAGCTTCCCAACAATTGGACTCGTGTGACCCTGTAGAAGCTGACGTTATTAGTATTTTGGCTAATTTGGGTGGCAAAGTTGTAGAACAAGATGCTGCACTTGTGCTCAATAACATGTCCAACTCTGAAACTGCGCCTTTGGTGCTCAGATACTTTCTGGAAAGGCTTAAGTTGAAGAAAGAAGTGATTTTGTATAATGTTACCTTCAAGGTGTTTAGAAAATGTAGAGACTTGGACAGAGCCGAGAAATTGTTTACGGATATGATTGAGAGAGGCGTTAAGCCCGATAATGTCACCTTTTTCCACCATAATTAGCTGCGCCAGGCTGTCTTCTTTACCTGAGAAAGCCGTCCAGTGGTTCGAAAAAATGCCGTCTTTTGGGTGTGAACCGGATGAGGTTACCTATTCTGTGATGATCGATGCGTATGGGAAGGCTGGGAATGTAAATATGGCTTTAACTTTGTATGGCCGTGCTAGGACGGAAAAATGGCGAATTGATGCTGCTACCTTTTCGACGTTGATTAGGATTTATGGGACGGCCGGGAATTTTGATGGGTGCTTGAATGTTTACGAGGAAATGAAGGCTCTGGGAGTTAGGCCTAATTTGGTTGTCTATAGTTCCTTGTTGGATGCGATGGGGAGGGCCAAGAGGCCCTGGCAGGCAAAGAACATATACAGAGACATGATCAACGATGGGTTTGAGCCCAGCTATGGGACGTATGCTGCCTTGCTTCGGGCCTATGCTAAGGCTCGGTATGGTGAAGATGCGCTTGATGTGTATAGAGAGATGAAGCACAAGGGCTTGGAGTTGAGTGTCGTTCTTTACAACACCCTGTTGTCGATGTCTGCTGATGTGGGATTTATTGATGAAGCTGTTGAAATTTTTGAAGCTATGAAAGGTTCTGAGAGTTGCAAACCTGATAGCTGGACGTATTCTTCCATGATCACAATTTATTCCTGCAGCAGCAAAGTCTTTGAGGCGGAATCCACATTAAATGAGATGTTGGAAGCGGGCTTTGAGCCTAATATCTATGTCTTGACTTCACTGATCCAGTGTTATGGGAAGGCCAACCGCATAGATGATGTGGTTAGGACTTTTGATCGGCTGCTGGGGTTAGGAATAACGCCTGATGAGAGATTCTGTGGTTGTCTTCTTAACGTAATGACTCAAGCACCAACTCAAGAACTTGATAAGTTGACCAGATGCATTCAGAAGGCTGACGCCAAACTTGGTCATGTGGTGAAGCTCCTTGTGGGCGAGGAGAACATTGAGGGTGACATCTTGCGGAAGGAAGCTGGCGAACTCTTTCTGTGGTGTTAGTAACTAACAAAAATTTTATTATAATTAAATTTTAGCAAATAATCAAGTATTAAAATATCAACACATCACTAAATTATTATTCATTGTAACTTTATAATTGAAACTCATAAAAATAATTAAATAAAAATTATTTGAATACAATTTGATATGATAAAACAAATATAAATAAAATAATCAAGTTTTCACTTTTGATACAAATACAATCACTAAATTATTATTGTTTTTTTTAGAAAAAAGTGTTATTGTATTAAGTGCAGTTAGGAATTTAATATAAATTTATTAATAAATTTAGTATAAATAATTAATAGACATGTATAATTAGTAGTATAATTGATAATATCAATTATATTACATATACTAATATACATTAAATGATACATATAACTAATAATATCATTATTATAAATTTATAACTAATTAAATTAAATATTATATATATAATTATGTACATATATATATCTTTATTTTTTTTAAATGAGTGGCGGGCCCTCGTCCCGTTTCTAAACTGGGGGGGGGGGGGGAATTCTCCCTCGCCCCCTACCCCAACCCCAGCCCCAATAGCCCCCCGCGCTGCCATCCTTAATTGTAGGCTTTGGTTTCGCTTTTATTTCCAAAGGTTTCAAAGGTTACAAATGAGGCTTATAAGTGATACAAGACCAAAGGTATATATACCAACATTAATATAGATACATGAATTGAATACTTTGAGTACATGAATTTAATAGTTTTATATGAATGAACTACAAGAAAATATGTAAGTGTATTAATCAACCTTATAAAGGAATGAATATTCTAATATATCTCTTAGAGAATGAGTAGACATTCATACTTATCATTTTATTAATTTCATAACAAAATGTTGATACTATTTTAATTTTTATCATATGTGGTGAACTAAAAGATATTTTCCCAAATGTGATGAATTGGCTCTTGTTTTCTTCTAGTTGAATATTTATAACTTGCAGTCATTCTTTTTTCCTTAGACTTTTATGGAACTAAATTTGAAGACTTGTTATTTGATTTTCACAATTTCATATTGTAAATAAATCATTTGTAATATAGGGTATGTCCATTCTAGTAATGTGCGAATTCAAAATATATGGAATTGAACCGGACAAAAGATAAAAACTATGGAATTAATCAATTAAACGGTTAGTTCTAAACTTTTCAGCATATAAAAATGTTTGGGATTTCTTGTATTTTTCTTTAAAAGAATTCTTGTATCATTCAGACGGTTGTTTTTTTTTTTTTTTAATCGTCCTTGAATTAGGTTGAGGTAATTCCACTTTTCACCCAGTTGAAGGTCAAAAATTAAGCAAATTAGGGAAATAAAAAATGTTCTTAGTTTGTGAATTTTGGCACTTCAACGCTTGCTTTAGTTTTTGTATATAAATTAGGGGGAAAGAATGACAGTTCTTATACATTTACTTAAGTTTTGATAGTTTTTAATAACATAAAAATTAAACAAACTTTACCAAAAATTTTGTACTTTTTATCCTACCTAGAATTTCCTAATACATTTGATATGAATCAAAACCTCCAACAAAATGATTCCTTATACATCCAAAGCCTCTTTATGATTCAATGTATCAATTTTAATGCATATCTTAAGAAATTTATAAGACAATGAAATGGAACTTCTATACGTCTATGGGCATTCTAAACTCCGAGGCACAAATAAAAATAGAATATATTTTTTATACACTATCAGTTGATAATTTTTTTACACTAATAAAGACCTTCATAAATACCTTCCATAAAGACCTCACATTTTTGCTAACTTGGCTCAAGAGTGAGAAGCACTTCAAAACTGTGCAGCACCAGTTTTATAACATTCATGGACTTATCACTGGTAGCAGGTAAGATAAACAGATCGATCATGTCTAAAACATATATTATAACATTTAAGGTGAAAATCAAAACCACATTCCTCAATTTTGAAATCCGACAATGCAGCAATATTGAGAGTTCGAAGTCTTGAACTTCTCGGATAGGAGAAGCTGCAAAGTCTGTTATTGTCACAGATCAGGTTGTGGTGTCGGAGCATGGAGCAGATGTTGGGCTGCAGACTTAGACTTTGAATCCACTTGAGGATAGGGAATTCACTGATCCGGAGTCTGAGAATGACCATTCCATTCAACCAGCTAACGGCGCATTCACAGAGGCTGCATCAGAAGAGAAGGCGATGGAGACAGGCGACTCCTCACAGCAAGGTAATGGAATTACGTCTGATGTGGCAAACGGTGCGCTCGCGAAGGTAGACCAAGTTCATGACTCACGTGATATGGTGTCAATTGGAGACACACCCCTTGTGGGTACAAGTACAAGAACGGGAACAAAATCCTCTATGCCTCAAAATACACGGTTTAAAGATGTGCGACAATTTAAAGATGTGTTCGAAGAACTTAAATGGGAGAGATTACATGGTAAGATCCCCCTCGTATATCAAAAGCCATTCCTTCATTCAAGTACAACATGCAATGATGACAAAAATGAAGAAGAAGAAGATGATTCACAACGCGATAAAGACAAAGACCAAGACCAGAAACTAGTTCACGAGCAATTTACCCAAGTGATTTCAAAGAAAGCGAGGAAGCAGCTTTAAAAAAGGTAAAACAATGCAAACACATCAAGATATTAAATCAAACTCCCACGTTCACTCGCAATCCCACAAATGTGGGGCACCCTCATATGGATGATTTCATTCGATTCATCTATTATGTTATGTGTTTAGATTCGTAGATTTTTCTATATGTGCGTATTACTGTTGCATGTCTTTAGCTCTTCCTTTTACTTTAATAGAAGTCAGGTTTGGCCCCCTCTAATTCGCTGTACTCTTTTCGGATATTAATAAATTAAGGGATGACATCCCTTAAAAAAAAAAAAAAGCTCATTTTTATCATTGTAATCAGCTTAAGACTACATCTGTGAGATGTTAAAAGCATAGAATCTAGTTCCATCATGAAGAAAAATGAATCTATCAAAGAAGTAAGATGCAGAGTAATGTTCTAAACTGTAAACGCAGTTGATGATACATGTGCCATTTAAGATGATTTAAAGGTCTTTATTTATGTATACAAAACTGGAAATAAAGTTGAGTTACAAGGTACTTTTCTGGTACAGGTGAAAAGATGATGATTCCAACGTATCAAATTTAGCTAATTATTTGATTCGTCTACTTTGCCAGGGATGCCGCACTACTATGCTCCCATGTGTATAATGCAGCGCAGGCCCTCTCCTTTGAGCATGTACTCAAATGCCTTGTTGATCTCTGAGAAAGGCACTTCATGGGTGATAAACTTCTCAAGTTCAAGCTCCTGTATTTATTAAAAACCACCATTCTGTTAGGAACATAGACTCTCTATGGCAATTTGATGCAATTCATATTCCCATCAATTCACACAAAAACTAATCTTATCTGCTGCAGTAACACACTAATTAAGAATTAGTTCAATGAAGAGACGGTAGTCTAAGAGGTTTCTAAAGAATGAAGTGCATACAAATTATTATGTCAATTCCTTGTATATAAGAGACTAGAAGCATATACTGCTTGTCGAAGGATGAAGTACATATTTGGTGGATTGTCATGTCAGTGCAACTGGTTAATTGATGTACACAAATCGGTACATAACTTCCTTCTCCATAAAGATGCTTCACATAACAGCCTATCAGTTTTGGACAAGAGAAATCAGCTTACCTTATTCATGTACTTCTCAACCACCGAAGGAAGGTCAGTGCGCGGTTTATAATTGCCAAAAAATGTTCCCTTGAGTGTCTTCTCATTCAGGACATTGATTGGATGAGTTCTGAATGCGTCATCCTTATTTGGTACTCCAACAAGTACAGCAACACCCCATCCCTGCAAGGTCATTATTCAGTATATTCAGACTTTAAAATGACTAATTATCGCATTCAAATCTCATATTAGATTAGCCACTACGTTTCTTCAAACAAAGTAAAGAGTAAGGAGATTACATCATGAACACACTCAAATGCAGAGATCATTGCATTGATACTTCCAGTACATTCAATACTGCGGTCTACACCCCCATCTGTTATCTCTGCAAGAACCTGAAGACAAATTGTTCAAGGCATCATGAGCTGAATATCTATTGTCAGGTATAAATTGCCTCAGAAACAAGAAATACCTCTTGCACAGGCTTGTTGTAGTCCTTTGGGTTCACAAACTCCGTTACACCAAATTTCTTGGCTGGTTACAGAAAAATGAGAACAGACAGAAAGCAATTAAAAGTAAGCCTAGTTTTCTTTCTTATTTAGTTTCTTTTGTGACTTAGGAACTCTATAGGAGAAGAAAGTATGAACATATGGAAATGTGTATTATAAGGGCTTGTTGTGTACCTTCTTCAAATCGGTTGGAGTTCAAATCAACCCCAATGATTCTTGATGCACCAGCAATTCGAGCTCCTTCAGCAGCCTATCATAGAAAAGTAATAGCATGAAATTTCCTGGAAGCAGCAGCCATAGTACAATAGTACTTGGTATAAAATTCATATGCAGAACAGATTCTTACAGCAAGACCAACAGCTCCTAGTCCAAAAATTGCAACTGTTGAGCCCTTCGTTGGCTTTGCAACATTCAAGGTAGCACCAAGACCTGTGCCCATAATATACGAGGCCCATGTTATTGTAGGAATGAAAAGTTGAATCTAAAAGGACATCAAGTTATGGATTTTCAAACAAATTTCCAACCTGTGGAGATTCCACAGCTGAGAACACAAACTTTATCAAGTGGAGCTTCAGGATTGATCTTTGCAACACAGCCAACATGTACCACAGTGTATTCACTGAAAGTGGAAGTTCCAACAAAATGATAAATTGGTTTCCCGTTTATTGAAAATCTTGACTTCCCATCATTAAGCATCACTCCTCTATCAGTGTTGATCCTGAGGAGGTCACACATATTGCTCTCCTCTGACTTGCAGTGTCTGCATTCCTTACACTCTCCTGTGAATACAGGAAGCACATGATCACCAGGTTTGAGTTCCGTCACACCCTCACCAACACTTTCCACTATCCTGAAAAAATATATATATCGTAAAGCACAAGTTGATTTGGCTATGCCATCCAAGAACATTCTAAATTAGCAGTCAATCCAAGACAAATTATTCTCATACCCTGCAGCCTCATGACCAAATATTCTAGGAAACACTGGGGTCTGCCCCTGCACATTGACAACAATAATCTTGTTAAAACTGGCAAATATTTGATTTTAGGTGCATGTACAACAAATTATTCTCATGTCATTAGAACCTTTGCTTCCCAGAAGTAAACATCAGTATGGCAAAGGGAAGTGAAGAGGATCTTCAGGCGAACTTCCATTGCCTGGGGTGGTGCAACCTCAACTTCCTCAATTACCAGTGGCTTCCCTGGTCCCCATGCCACAGCAGCTGCAAATTGCAACAACAAATTTAGACAAAATTTTTTTCAAAACCAATCAGTAGATGTAAACCAAACAGTTGTTCACAACTCGGTCAAGTTGGTTAAGGCATGTTAAGATTACTTTCCGCATTCATTAGTCAACGAAAAATCAGAGTTTTATGGTGTTCAATTTTCGACACATCTAAAACAAAGGAAGGAAATGATTTGAAATGGAAGTACCTTTGCAGCGTATCACTTGACCTTCAGTACTGGAGCAAGTAGACATCTTGAATATTCTGAAAACTTTTTTCGTGATCAAATTGAAACTTAGGCAGATGGTTTTGTTGTGGAGAAAGAGTTTGTTGAAGGTGAATATATATAGCAGTGGTAGTACAAGTTAAATGCAAGAGGTTTCATTTTTATTTTTATCTTTTTTCCCCTTGGCTTCTAAAGAAAACCAGGATTGCTTCTGCAGTATTGGAAAGCAGAAGAAAAAGCTGCAAACAGATGCTGCCTTGGTTTATATTTTCCGGTTTCTGAAACCAGTTGACTTTTTCCCTTAAACCATCCAAAAAGAAAAGATTAAAAAAAAATAGTAGTTGGCATTGCCAGGTACAGATTCTGAAAAAACAATAATATTTTTGAGACTAGCAAAATTTGAGGTTTGGCATACAGTTTGTCCAATTAGGAAAAAGAAACCAAGAAAACGATGTAGTGTCCAAATCCGTTATTAAAAACTATAAAAAGTTAAGAGAAAAGAAAGCAAGCTGGTCTCAAGTTGTTATATTTTATTACTGGTATCAATAAATAATTCTTGGTTGATTTGACCAGAAATGAAGATGCTAAATCCATGGTTTTAGGAAATGGGAAACCAGATTTGATCAGTTGTTTTGGTTTTGCAAATCCAAGTTCCCAGGATTCTTTTCTGTGGCAAAGAAAAAAAAATGGAAAAGAAGTAACTAACAGTTGTCTATTAGTTCTTTATCAACTGTATCTGATTGGTTGATTTATGAACAAATGGACCAAATCATTTAGCACTGATCGACAAATAATATTGTAGGCTGTGGTAAGAGCCCTTGATGGACAAATACCTGATCCCAATTGGTGGTGAGAACATGTTTTTCATTAGCTTTTATTTCCAAAGGTATCAAAGGCTACAAATAAGACTTATAAAATTAATATAGATACATGAATTGAGTACTTTGGGTACATGAATTTAATAGTTTTATATGAACGAACTACGAGAAGATACATGAATATATCAATCAACCTTATAAGGGAATGAATATTCTAATATATCTCTTAGAGAATGGGTAGACATCCATACTTATCATTTCATTAATTTTATAACAGAATGTTCATATTATTTTAATTTTTATCATATGTGGTGAACTAAAAGATATTTTCCCAAATGTAACGAATTGGCTCTTGTTTTCTTCTAGTTGAATTTTTATAACTTGCAGTCATTTTTCTCATTAGACTTTTATGAAACTAAATTTGAAGACTTGGTATTTGATTTTCTCAATTTCATATTGTAAATAAATCATTTGTAATATAGGGAATGTCCATTCTAGTAATGTTCGAATTCAAAATAGGGATAATTTTAGAAACCTCCCCTGAGGTTCCTAACAATTTCACTGAGCTCCGTTGAGATTTAAAAAATTACACACACCTCCCTTGTCATTTAAAATAACAATTTTACCCTTAAATATTTTAATCAAATTCCTTTATTTGGTATGCTTATACTTAGAATGAGTTTTAAACTTATTTTTTCATTATTTTTTCTTCTTATTCCTTTTTTTAATTTTTCGCCAATAAAACTGTAGAACTACCACTATTGCTTCTAGTTTATATTGTAACCAAATGCCGAACTAGTGATTTTTTTGACAAGTTAATTTTATATGTAATCCAATGTTTTTGCTTATATTTTTTTTCTATTTTTTGGTACTAAAATTAACAATAAATCAAAAATAAATGGCTCCAAATCACTACCAAATTATGATAATCCCACTACCCAAAAAATTCATAAATTTTAAATAAATTATTTCAACATTTTCTTTTCTATCTTATAAATATAAATCCATAATAAAGCATCATCAAAAGTATCTTATCATAGTGATAAATTTATTATTATAGTTGTTTATCAAATAGTAGATATGAACATAAAAAATTTGGCACCTTTCATTATAATTATACTAGATAATCCTATAATTGTATAGGAAAATAAATTAAAACTGTAAGGGCATTTTTAGGTATTTATTTATAAAATTGACCAAGTCAATATTATTTTAAGATTTTGTTACTAAAACTATCAAATCAAGAGAGGTAAGTGTAATTTTTCAAATCTCAGGGGAGCTCAGTGAAATTATCAAAAACTTCAGGGGAGGTTTAGGTTTCTGAAATTATCCCTTCAAAATATATGGAATTGAACCGGACAAAAGATGAAAACTATGGAATTGATCAATTAAACGTTTAGTTCTAAACTTTTCAGCATATAAAAATGTTTGGGGTTTCTTGTATTTTTCTTTAAAAGTATTCTTGTATTATTCAGACGGTTGTTTTTTTTTTTTTAATCATCCTTGAATTAGGTTGAGGTAATTCCACTTTTCACCTAGTTGAAGGCCAAAATTAAGCAAATTAGAAAAATAAAAATGTTCTTAGTTTGTGCATTTTGGCACTTCAACGCTTGCTTTAGTTTTTGTATATAAATTAGGGGAAAAGAATGACAGTTCTTATACATTTACTTAAGTTTTGATCGTTTTTAACAACATAAAAAATAAACAAATTTTACCAAAAAGTTTTGTAATTATTAACCTACCTAGAAATTCCTAATACATTTGATCCTACATAGATATGATTCAAAACCTCTAATAAAATGATTCCTAATATAACCAAAACCTCGATCTATATGATTCAATGTATCAATTTTAATGCATATCTTAAGAAATTTACAAGACAATGAAATGGAACGTCTATACGTCTATATAAATTATAAACTCTTAGGCACAAATGAAAATAGAGTAGATTTTTTTATACACTGTCAGCAGATAATTTTTTTTTTTTTTACACAAGTTGAGTTAGATAACGCCATGTAACATAAATTCAAATTTGACATTTAATCATGCACATGTGGCATATATCCAAAGTTGCTTGTGTAAAAAAAATTACTATACTGTCAGTGCATAAAATATTAATCCATAAAAATATATGTATGTGCATGTATTGTAAACTTTATGTACAACAAAGCTGCACATAATAAATTTTTTCGAATTAGCATTGGTTAAAAAAAAAAAGCCACTTGTGGTGAAGTGAATATACAGGAAATCTCCCATGATTGCAAAACATACAATTCGACATCTCATGGTTTGAACTAAACTGAAAAGGCGACAAAAATTGTCAAGACTAACATGGGTAAACAAAATGACAAAAATACCCTAATACATATAAGGATAAAATGCAGAAAACCTCCCAATAGTTAAGCCAACTTACTGGAAAGTCCCTTGTGGTTTCAAAAAATATAATATTCAACCTTTCATGCATAAAACAGTTGCTCTAGTTTGATTAATATCTATATATGGGATAATACCATGATCACAAAAAAAATCCACAATCATCCATTGCATACATAAAGTGCATCCCTTTTGATGGTTTTTTCGACCTGGACAATTTTTACTTTCGCTTTTTGTGAACACTCATAAATCTTGTACTAGTATTGTAAGGTCTAGTTTTGCTACCCACTCGAGAGCTCGAGAAAGATATAAGCAACTATTTTGCAAAAATTTCCTTCACTTTATACAAATAAAAAGTATTGAAATTTTTACTTTAAATTCTTAAAAAAAGAGCCTCGAAACAATATTATAATAGCAAAAATCCAAATTTTAAACCTTTTCCCATACCTACATGAGACCGATGGTTGATTTCTCTCAAGAAGCTTTACTCCTTTTTCAATATTTTCCTAGAAGTTTTGGATTAAATCGAACTTGTATGTTTCAAAACTACAAAGGGCATTTCTGTAGGTTAAGTTGACCATAGGGGCTCTTTTGTAAGGGGTAAAACGCGTATATCAAATGAAATTAATTATAAAAAAACTGTTTTTAGGTACCACTTCCAACTTGTACGTTTCAAAACTACAAAGAGCTTTTCTATAGGTTAAGTTGACCATAGGGGGCTTTCTTGTAAGAGGCAAAATGGGTATATCAAATTAAAATTAATTATAAAAAAACTGCTTTTAGGTACCACTAGTTGCAAAACAAGTGCGTGTATTTCAAACACGTTAGTTTTGATGATTTCCATTGCCTTTGCAGTTTAATTCAAACCATGAGGTGTTAGATTGTATGTTTTGAGATCACAGGAGGCTTTTCAGTTCGCTAAACAACAAAAGGCTTTTTTTTTTTTTTTTACCCAATTAGCATTTAATAAAGTAAGGCATCACTCGAGAATTGATCAGTGTAGTTTTAAATCACAAAGAAAGAGGTTTGAGCAATTGTGTATGTTGTCATTCTAAATCAATAACATTTTAAAAAAAAAAACTAGTTAGTTTTGGGCCAGAAAAAAAAATATTACGACGAAATAGTAATATGTTAGAAATGCTCAAATTTTAGTCATTTTAGAAATTCCATGCTTGGTTTATTTTCTTCTGCAAATGAATTAAGATCCTTTTGCAAGTGAACTACCATTCTAACCATACTCACTTCTCTATTTGGTCCAACTATTTTTAAGTAAAAGAAGATTTTAAGAGTAGAATTGTTTATGACTAAAAATTGTATTAGTTGATTTGATGTTTCCAGAGATTGATCATGACTCAAAAGGGCACTACTTCCTCGTAGAGACCAACAAGGAGCAAGACATGGTGGTTTTCCAAGAAAAAGAAGTCCAAACAGGTTGAAAGCAAAGTAGCAAACTCGATTGCTAGTCATCTTATAACCAACTCATGAGGGATATTGAACACATTGATCGTGAAATTCAAGAGATGCAAAGGAAAACCATTTTTTTTAAATAGGGATCCATCCCTTAATTTATTTATATCCGAAAAGAGCACAGCGAATTAGAGGGGGGCCAAACCTGACCTCTGTTAAAGTAAAAGGGACAGCTAAGGATCAACAATAATACGCACATACGAAAAAATCTGTGAATCTAAACACATAACAGATGAATCGAACGAAATCATCCACATGATGGTGCCCCACATTTGTGGGATTGTGAGTGAGCATGGGAATTTGATTTAACATCTTGACGTGTTTGCATTGTTTTACCTTTTTTTGAAAGCTGCCTCCTCGCTTTCTTTGAAATCACTTGGGTAAATTGCTCGTGAACTAGTTTCTGGTCTTGGTCTTTGTCTTTATCGCGTTGTGAATCATCTTCTTCTTCTTCATTTTTGTCACCATTGCATGTTGTATTTGAATGAAGAAAAGG